CAGTATTTTTCCTTTTGTGACTGAGATACTTCAGCATAATGTCCTCCAGGGTCACACATTTTGAAAAATATTACATGAGTTCCTTGTTTTTCAATGTCGTATAGTATTCCATTGTGTGAATATACCACAACTTCTCTACCCACTCATTTGTTGATGGGCACTTAGGTTGTCTCCAACTCTTTGCTATTATGACCAAACCTGCAATAAACATGGGTGTGCATATATCTGCTTGGATGTCAGCTATGCTCTCTTTGGGCTATATTTCCAGTAGTGGAATTTCTGGATCAAATGGTATCTGTATTTGCAACTTTTTGATAAAGTCCCATACTGCCTTGCACAGTGGTTGCACCATTTTGCATTCCCACCAACAGTGAATTAGGGTTCCAGTATCTCCACAACCTCACCAGCATTTGTTGTTTGCTGTTCTGTTAAATTTTGCTATTCTGACTAGGGTGAGATTATATCTCATAGTTGTTTTAATTTGCATCTCTCTTAGAGCTGGGGATTTTGAACATTTCTTCATGTGCTTGTCAGCTATCTGAATGTCTTCTTTGGTGAAGTGTCTGTTCATGTCCTGTGCCCATTTTTCTATTGGATTATTTACCTTTATCTTGTTGTGGTGCTCAAGTATTTTATAAATTCTAGATATAAGTCCCTATCTGATATGTCATTACCAAATACTTTTTCCCAGACTGTGGCTTCCCTTTTTATCCTGTTGGAGAAGTTTTTGGATGTGTATAGGGATTTGATTCTTAGAAGATCCCATTCATCTATTTTATCTTCTCCTGGTTGTAGGATAAGTGGAAGTTTAAGCCTACCCCAGAGAGATTTCCAAATTATTTAAAAGGCTGTATGTCTCAGAGGCTGGAACTTGAGAAGTGATTGGATCTCACAGGGACAACCCCAGACAATTGTGTCCACATCACAGTTTTAGTGGACATTCATGAAAAAAATATCAATGCAGAAAGATTTGTCTTATTTCAATCGTAAACTGAAAAGCAAACTAACCTTCCTGAAAAAGAATTTTCCATTAAAAAAAATTAATATTGACAACCTACTATTTTTATAGGCCAACCCTGAATTAATGGTTGTTGTAAAATGTGTTGCTAATTTAGCCAAGAGAATGCACTACAACTATGAGTAAAGAGCTCTCAGTTTCTTCCATATTGCAAAATGTGGATTTGCACACAAAGATCTTGATGAGACTTACCTTCTGGAGTTCAAACCAGAACCTGATGAGGTTGACATTAGACGGGGCTTTCCAACTCAACTGCAAACTAGTGTTCTCTGGGGCCAAAGCGTGAGGTTTCTCTGGTGTGTCAAAGGTCTCAGCTGTGACAGACTTACTCTCCGCACACCACATTTCCTCAGGGTGGCAGGCCAATACCTTTTTGTAAGAGAGAAAAATTATTTGCTTAGCCTTTTCAGAACCTTGTTCTGGAGAATGACAATGAAATATGCCCAATACCTTTGACTATATATTATATGTATATAATATATAACACAACATAACATTCGATTAGATCATTAATATAATATAAATATAACATAACATAATATATAATAATATATTATGTAACTAAATATGCACTATACCTTTAACACATATTGTTTTCCACCAGACAGTTTGGTGACAAGGACAGCCAGCTTTCCATTTGGAAATTCACTTTTTCTTAAAGGAGTTTCAGGGATTAGGGGCAGATGTGAGATGGCCAGTTGATAGCGAACTGACTCTCTAGGTCCATTTGGCTTGAGAGTTTCTGCCCAGGTTATAAAGAGGCTCGTGTCTGATTGAGGGGTTATGTTAATGAAGTGAACTGCTTCTGGTACTGAAATGATTAGCAACAAAAAGATAAAGGATAAGACAGCAGTACTGAAAGATGGGAAGAAGTTATGAACTCATAGTGGAAAAATAACTGTGTCCAGTAAGAAGGATGAATCAAAGACATGCAAAATGAAAGCAAAGACATTTATAAATCAGTACATTAACTAAACAGTTCTTGCTTTATTTTTGCCTGATGACCAAATCATTCTCTGGCTCCCACCCCAGGATATTGCAATAATGAATATCTCTATCAGTGATGGAAAATATCTCAATTCTGGTGAGCTTTGTGAATGTCACCAGGGACATTAAAAAATCCCAACCAAACCACCACAAAACACAATTAAACTTGACACTGTTGTGTTGTTGTTGTGTACTGTAGTCAGAACCAACCCAGAGCTGACCTTCTGGTGGGTTTTCAGAGGCAGTTATACTCACGAGAGATTACCCATCCTCCTGTGGCACAGCTGGTAGATTTGAACCATGTGCCTTAAGGATGGCAGCACAGCATCTTACCACTAGGCTACCAGAGCTCCCTTAACTTGACACTAGCTCATAATTACCACTACATCCTGGCACACTTTATTAGATCTATTTTCTTCAAAGCAAGGATGCTTTATTATTTTAAATCTCAGAGGCTTCTGAAATTCACAGAGAAAAAGCATTTTCTTTTTCTCGTCATATTTCCAAACTGAGATCATTCACTCGATCTAACTCCTAAGTCCTCTGTAAGACAGAGTAGAAAATACCTCATGGGGTTTCCAAATCATAAACCTTTATAAAAGCAGATGGCCACACCTTTCAGTGAACAGGGCAGAGCTTCACCATGCTGTCACCAGGCCTCCTTTTCCCCACATACAGAAGCCTATCCATACATGGGATGAGAGTGACACTGTGTGGTGAAGCTACAGACTCTTCCTGGTCAAACAGTTTCCCTCCCTTCCTGATTTTCATTTTGATGGAACATTATCCACCATCTTCAGTGGTCATGTCATCAAAATATTTTTCTCTAGACACATTTTTTTTTAATTTTTATTATTTTGTGTGTGTGTGTACCATCAAATCGGATCTGACTGATACGGGAGGAGATTGTCCCTCCCTCTTGAGCAGAGCATCTGGTGGATTCAAACTGCGCACATCAGGGATTGCAGTGCAGCTTCTTGCCACTAGGCCATAAGAGCTCCCTGACACTTTTTTTTAAGTTTAAAAAAATGCACATAAAAGAAAGTCCAAATACATATAGACATGTATATCAATATTATTTACACAAACAAAATTCACATTAGAAATTTCCATCATGCCCATAACTCACCTCCACGTTCTGTTTTCCCCAAAATTTCTTTCCCCGGGGGTAACTCTTCCAACAAGTCTGAATAATAATTCTTTACAGCTATCTGTATTATGTATGTTGAAAATGGTTGTAGTCCTTCAAGCAGAGCTATGTGTTCCTGAAATTCCTGCAATTAATTTTTAAAAATAAATATCTGTATATACCAAACAAACAAAAAAGCCAAAACAAAAGAAAAATCAGTATCTGATTTTTGGTGTCTGCACAAATGCAAAGAATTCACGTAATCAGAGACAAGGGGAAAACAATAAGTTATTTCATTTTGAATCCTGCATCACAAATTACAATGTTTACTCAGTCTGTTCATATTTGAGTTTACTATCTCCAAGTAAAAAATCTCTCAAGGCTATGAGTCCTTAGTCACTTCTGTGGTATAATTAATTTCGCACAGGAAACTAAGTTTTGAAAAGAGAAAGACAATTCCAAAAGCATTACCCTAGAAATTAAACAACAGAGTATTACAAAGATGTGAAACCTGAATATAACAAAAGATTAAGCTACAATATCTATTAATTCTTAGAAGTGAAGTTGTCAACTTTGGTTCTACGTTTAAGTCATCTGAGACGTTTTCAGAAAATACTGATGCTTGGATCATACTCGAGAGGCTTATTTATTTATTCTTGAGTAAAATCTAGGCCCCAGAGATTATAAGGGTCTCAGGGTGCAATGAGCGAGCTCTGACGCCACTGTTCATGGAGAACTGCACTGCTAACCCAATGGCTGTGTCTCAGGCCGTTCACATCTGCCAGGGACCCGGGGAGAGAAAAATGGGCAGACTCCTCCCAAGCAGTTTCCAACCTCGGAAATTCAATGGAATTGTCAACTCAGACTCAGTCAGTTTCAGGTTTGGGGGTTTTCTCTGAATGTGTCATGAAAGTGGAGAACCACCCATGTTAATCTTTGGGAAGTAAATACACTCGATCAGTTTCAGGTACAGAAAGGTTTTCATTTCCACAAGCACAATCTTGGTCAACTAAGTGATCTAGTTTTGTCTCTGAAATAATGCCTAATAAAAGCATGCTAAGAATGTTCACAACAGACAAAGTAACAAAGAGTCATGCACTTTCTGGCAACTAGGTCTTAATATACAATATATGAAGAAAGTTTTAATGACTGAGTTTGAAAATACCAAACAAAATTTTGGATCTATATCCTTCCCTCACTATAGCAACTGAAATGCTAATGCCAGTGGTGGGATGAATTGTACCATTTCACTCATTAAAGAAATACTCAGTGAATGTCATTGTTGTTGTTGTTAGGTGCTGTCGAGTCAAATAAAACCCATAGTAACCCCATGAACAACAGATCTGAAACCCCGTCTAAGCTGTGCCATCCTCACACTGCTTGACACAACGGAGCCCATTGTGGCAGTCACCATGACAGTCCACCTGGTTGAGAGTCTTCCTCTCCTTTACTGACCTGCTGCCTTTCTGAGCATCATGTCCCTCTCCTAGCAACATGCCTGAAGTATGTGAGGCAAAGCTTTATCATCTTTGCCTCCAAAGTGTAATCTGGCTATACTTTATCCAAGACTGTTTGTTCTCTTGGTCGTCCATGGGATGTTCAGTGCTCTTCTCCAATACCACAGCTCAACGGCATCAATTCTTCTTCTGTCATTCTTACTCTTTGTCCAGTTCTCAAATGCATAGCAAGTGATCAGAAAGACCATTGCCTAAATCAGATGGATACCTATACAAAGCTAAATATTGTGTGAAGTACTCAAATACAGTGATTCATAAGAACAGACATAGCCAAACCTACTGTTACTGAGTCAATTCTGATGCATGGTGGCCCTCCATCTGGTTTCTGAGCTGCAAATCTTAATGGATAGAAATTGCTGAATCTTTCTCCAATGGGGCAGCAGTTCAACACTTAGCCAACTCTGCCGCCATTGATGTTGCTAGGTGCCGTCCTGCCGTCTCCAAATGAAACCAATCCCATGTACAACAGAATGAAATCCTGACCAATTCCAAGCCATCTTCATGATCTTTTTTTTTTAAAGAAAAAAATCTTTTTACTTTTTTTGTATGTGTACCATCAAATCAGATCTGACTGGTATAGAAGAGATTGTCCCTTCTTCTCCAGCAGAGCACCTGGTGGATTTGAGCCTCACGCCTCTGTGATTGCAGTGCAGCTTCTTGCCACCAGAGCAGAGTCCTGGAACTTTGCTGTTCTTAAACCCATTGTTACAGGCACTGTGTTCATCCACCTCACTGAGAGTTGTCTTTTCTTTGGTTGACCCTCTGCTTTTCTAAACACGATGCCCTTTACCAAAGTTTAGCCTCCCTGCCCCCCCCAAAAAAAACATGCTCAAATATAGGAAATAATAAATAAAAATATAAAGTAGACTTTTCATCTAGTTAAATTCTATGGAGGAGAGGTATTATTATCTCAAATTCTTTTTTTAAAAAAATTTTAACCCTTGCTAGATGGACCACAAAACTAGCCTCTGTCATTCTCTGGAAAGAATGAAGTAATTTGGGAAGGGAAGAAGCCCAATTTTTTTCAGAGCACTGCAGAAGCAATTACCTTAGTATTATTCCAATAGGTCTGAGTTAATATACTATCTTAGTGGTTAACTTAGGCCAAGACAGTAAAACTAGAACAGAATATGATTTAATAAATCATTAGCAAGAAATAGTTGTAAAACCGTGTACTCTTGATGTGGCCAAGAATTTTTATTTCAGAAAAGTGCATCTTGTGAAGATAAAGGTAGCTAACTCCAATCTTACCAGAATTCTGCATTTCTGCTCAGAGCTGTTTTTATCATTAACTTCTCTGTAGTAAACCATGTAGGTTGGAGTAGGGCTGGTGATGCCAGGCCACGTGCGGTTGGTTTTGGCAGCCGGTAAGCCGATTGTGAGGCTACTGTTAGTGACACTGAGTATGACTGGCTCCTCAATATCTGGTGTTAGAGTTAGAAATGATTTATCTAAAATAACAGGAAAGCAGAGGTTAAGTATATACAGGTATATGTATAAGATAGGAATAGCGGATATATTTCACATCAAATATAATATCAAATAACTAAAATACATTTATAAAGGTACAACAGATCAAAACCTTGCCCCATCATTGCCATCTTTGCTGTGCTCAAGGCCAATGTTGGAGTTCTGTGCCATTCCATTTTGTTGATGGTCTTCATCTCATTCTCTGACCCTCCACCTTTCCAAGCATGATGCTGTTTTCTAACAACTGACTCGTTGTTGTTGTTGTTGTTGTTGTTGTTGTTGTTGTGTGCCATTGAGTTGAAACCAACCCATAGGTGACCCTCCAGCAAGTTTGTAGAGGCAGGAGAGGAGAATGTCCATCCTTCTCTTGTGGAGCACCTGGTGGATTTGAACTGTGTGCCTTTGGGATTGCAGCACAGCTTTTTACCACTAGGCCACCAGAACTCCCTGGGTCCCCTTTATGTCTTTAAAATCCCATCTCTGCAACATGCAGCTAGATGACCTTTCAAACCTATTTACTCTAAACAGGTCTTATACAAAAGATGACTTAAATATATAGCATCTTTGTACAAAGAGATAATAGGCACATTACTCCAAATATTATTTTAGCATGGACTCAAACAATCTTAGGATACCAGTAAACTGATTCTTTAGCTTAAGGTACAATGTACCATATAATCTGGTTCCTTCCTCCTTCTGTATCTCTCATTTGACTATTCAAAACCATCCTTCCTGACTCCTAGCCATTCTCCCTTGAGCTGTCTGCAAATGTGACAGACTTCTCCCCTCTCCAGGCCTTCCCACTGTTTGTTCTGGCTGTAATCACCTTTGCACCTAGCAACCCTTACTTAGGTCTCAGTTCAGGCAGGTTTGGATTTTTTTCTCCTTTTTAATATTGTTAATATTAGGGAGATATTTTTGCAAAATTCTAGAAAATCATGAAGACTTGAATTGGAAATGCTAAATATTAATTTTAAAATGTAGAAAAGAATATTTAACTCAAAGAAGTCCATAGACAAAATTCTTGTATAAGAGAATACCCAAGATTGATATGAGCCTACCGTTTGAGGGCACCTGGAAGATCTGAGGGTCAGAGAAGGATCATTTACTGCATTATCTTAAGAGTAAGTCACGAAAGTTGCCAAGTGGGTCATTCTTCACTTTAGCCAATATTTATCCAATAGCACTGAGTTTATGCTGTTGTCTAGTTTACACTGGGAATGGTGGTGAAAACATTATTCCAGACAGTAAGGCATTGTCCCCCAACAGATTTTGAGAATGTTAGACTTTGAAAAATAAAATAAATGGTAAATTCTCAAAATTTCCACCAGATGGAGCTCAGCGCTCTCGTAATAGTGGGCCTAGACAGTAACAAAGTTGACCTTTTTCTTTTGACAAGGAGAGCATGTTGATTCCGATTTTAAACTAGCTCTTGTTAAAAAAAATCATGCTGCTATTAAAGCCATTATTTCATGAGGCAGAGGGATGTGTGAGTGTGTGCTGGTCCATTTTAAACAAGTCTAGGTTTTCAGAGTTTATAAATAACTTCTTAAAATGGAAAATGAATTCTTTTACTTTTTAAATTGTTATACCTTTCTCAGTATGGGAGCTCTGGTGGCCTAATGCTAAGAAACTGCACTGCAATCCCAAAGGCATGAGGTTCAAATCCACCAGCTGCTCCGAGAGAGAAGGATAGGCACCCTCCTCACTTGTGATCTAACCCTCTGAAAACTTTCTGGAGGGTCCAACACCATGGTATGCAACAGCAATAAGATTAAAAAAAAATAATAATTAAAAGAACCCATTGCAACGGAGTGGGATAATTTAACTTTATCTCATGGATTCAAACTACCAACTGGCACTGCATTTAGGTTACCAGTGCAACTCCCTACCATCTAGGCCATAAACCTAGTAAAAATGACAGTGCTAATTTCCACACTTTAGATGGTTAAGAAAGATATAATGCTACAACAAATATGGCACTGTCTCATGAAAAGCCCAGAAGTCTTTTCACACAATTATCAGTTAGGTGTCATTGAGTTGGCTTGTGCCACTGCAATACGTGATCTAAAGTAGATGAGAGGAGAAACACCGAAAGAAAAGAAATTACAGATCTGAGAAGAAAAAGCCTAAAGAGAGAGAAGTCAACAAGTGGGGTTGCTCCCACTGGGTGCACAGCCAAGGTTAACATGGTAGTTTTTGATCCAGGGCACTGCAGTCACAGCAAGTGCAAAGGACAGATTTACGATATGGAGCAAAACCATCAAAGGGGTGAAGGAACAAGTTGAGAGGACCCAAGGTATCTTTTGAACTCAAACTAGAAAAAACAAAGGGGTTAGAAATTATTGCATTACCTGGAAAAGGTTGCATGACTGGACTATATGCCAAGATATGCTTACTGTCTGGGACCTGCACCTGGAAAGGAATGGCCCCAAATCTTTTCTCTGCTTGATAAATCTGTGTGCCGTCCTTCGTAGTGACAGTCCAGTATATAAATTCCCCATCCACAGTTAGACTAGTAAGGGATTTTCCTGTTAATGAAAAATATATATAGTAAAAATAAAGAACAAAATGTCTATCTTAAGTTGTCTAATCGAAACAAATATCTTTTTTTCTATAACTGCTGACATTTGGATCAACTTATTATTGCAATATGAAAACCTAAGACCTCTATGTGACTAGGCTAAAGTTTTAGAGTTATTTTCTAGTTTCATATCAAAGCAGTAAAGTAGGTACTGTAATTAGCATCATTGAAACCAAACTAAGGCTTAGATTTGTTAAATTATCTATTCAAAACCACCAACTTTGTAAAGGGTAGAGTCAAGATTTTAAAGCTATGTGACTCTGTCAACCAAACTCAGGGTCTTGTTCTATATTTTTATCAATGATTTAGGATTATACGTTATTGTTGCATATTATCAAGTCATAACTGACCCTCCAATGACTTTTCAAAGGCTGTAAATTGCATGGAAGGGGACTGACCATCTTTTTTTCCCTTGGAGCACCTGGTGGTTTCAAACCACAAAGCTTTCGTTAGCAGTACAAAATTCTGCTAAGCCACCAGAGCTCTGTAATGACTATATAATAAACGTATTTCTCAAATTTATAGTGAGTAAAAATTAGGCAAAAGCCACACAAACTTGATATTAAAACATATTCCAATTAGGGAATGGATTAAAATTTCAAAATTTAGTAAGAACAAACATAATTATAGATTCATCTTTAAAATTAATTCTGCAGTTAAGTGAATGAAAACTAGTTTAATAATAGCCTACAGCCATCGAGTCCGTTTCAACTTATAGTGACTCTACTGAGTTTCCGAGGCTGTATATCAAGACTGTCCCTCTTTCTCCTACAGAGTGTTTATGAACAGCTGACTTTTATTTAGTAGTTTGATATGTTACACACCATGTCACCAGTTCTCCTTGGCTTAATAACAGTTAATGTAAAAAAGATTGAGTTTCTCAAATGGTAGACAGACCAAAGAACTCATACTGCTTTTAGCTGCAATGACCATAACAGAGAAAAGTATTATGTGAACCTCATTCCAGAGGATATTAGCCAGAGTGGAAGCACAGGAGGTGGACCACAAAAAAGAAGTCCCATCCCCTCATCACTTGAAGAATAGAGACTGACTCCCATCCTCTCATCACCTGAAGAATGGTGATTGACTCAGAATGATCTCTGGTCACTCTTTCTATATAATTGAATGTGTGTGATGTGGAAGGTAATTAGTTTAAGCTTTATAAATTTGAGATTATAACTAAAATAAAAAAGATGGTTGAAATACGGTAGAAACTAGATGTAAGTAAAAAATAAAAAAATTGACTATACATAATATAATGTATAGAGGGAGCTCTGGTGGCCTGTGGATAATTGTATGAAACACAGTGTAAATGGGGGATCGTGTGGAACACAGTGTACCTGAATGAAAAACAAGATAAAGTATTTCATGGAAACCAAAAAAGGAGGGGGGAGTGGGAGGGCAGAAAAGGGGGAATGATAGATAACCACTGGGATGTTGGAGGTTGGTGGATAGATAGGTGGGAGACAGAGTTGGAGAGGTGGGTCTAGGGGTGACAATATGAATAGGTGTAGTTAATTGTATAAAGAGGGATTGTGTGGGGCATATTGTGAATGGATGAACTACAGTTTGCAAGAGTCGTTACATGCAAAAAAATGTGGAAGGAGATTAAAAAAATGTATTATATAAATGAACACTAGATAGTGTACAATTAGGAAGCAAAAACATGAAATTTCATCTTTGGCTAGTACTGGATTTGAAGTACTAACAGGGAAGATTTGCTCAGAAGACAAGCTTGTCAAGGGTAGAATCTCATTGGAGTCTGTTAGGACTTGGGGGAGGAATAAGATTAGATTCAGTCCCATGCATTACCCTGAGAGGAGATTTTGCATTTGAATTAACTCATGGACATATGTTGGAACTCTGATTTAAGATATAAACATTTGAAAGAAGGGTAAGAAGATAAGGAAGGAAGAAAACAAACAAACAAACAAAAAACCGAAAAAACAAAAAAAGAAGAGACTGACTTTTCAAAACTGGAACAAGGTATTCTGCTTCTGGGGCAGGGTAAACTTGGTGCCATTAGAGCCCACTTCCAAGACATGAGATTGGAGTATGCTCACTCATAGAAATCACTTAGACCTACAGGCATGGATATTAAGGTATACAGCAATGGAGAAACAGGCTGAACTTGGATGCATTCCTTCAGCAGTGCCCATCTAGCATGCACAGAAGTGTAGATGAGCAGCAAAGACTTATTGGCTTGAAAATTAGGGAGTCATGAAATTCCCTGGCTTGTTGACTTGGCCCTATGTTGGGGCTACGACTGGACAAGGAGACTAATATGCCTGGAAAGCAGGGAGAAGTGTGGACTCAAGCAGGCAGCTGATTTCCATTTAAACCTAGACACAAATGGCTGGGGATGAGTTGACCAGAACCCAACCAAATGAAGAGAAGATAATCCATGCTGTGAAGTAGAACCAGTGGCTGCAACCTGATGGCTTGCTCAGAACTGGACTTTAGAGCAGAAGAGTGGGAGACATGTCTGCCTTAATGGGAACTGATTTTTTGTTGTTGTTGCTGTGAATGCTGCTGACAGGAACAGTTCTCCCTTGTGGAGTTGGTGGAGGTCAGATATGTCTTTCCCAGCATGGTCCTTTGTTTTTCTATATGTATATACACAGCAGCTTCTTACCAAGCTTAGCAGGTATCATGATGACTCTCCAACACTGGCATCCTTCCAAATCCATGGCCCAGATCTCTTGCCCTTTGACAAAGTATATGCATGGTTGTTTCAAGTCAGAGCTATCAATAGTCATGGTGCCAGTTAACTCCACTTCATTCACATTGCAAGAACATTGGCTCCTTCCATTGTGATGGTTTTCAGCTCCAGGTTGTAGAATGTGGTGCAAGGTGTGGTTGACAGTACTGTAGTAGAACATCTGACAGCTAAAACTGGAAACTTCTGTCCAATATAGCCGACTATTAGAGAGAGAAAAAAAAGTCCCTCCAACTTAGTGAGTAAAATAAATCATCACAAATATTTGTTTCTAGTGAAGATCAGTAGGGTCCCTTACTGGCAGAAAGGGTCAATCCCTCAACTCTTGGTTAGAAGTTCAAACCCACTCAGAGGCACTTTGGAAGACAAGCCTTGCTGTCTGCTCTCAAAGGGTCACAACTTAAAAGTCCATATGAGGTCACCATGAGTAGAAATTTACTCCACAACAATTAGCCACTGCAGCAATAATGAAGAGAAATGAGGAAATTATGACTGATGATTGGAGGGACAGATAAAGGCTTTGAAGAAAGCATGCCCAAATGCCCAGTAAACCTTCTGAGACATAGAAAGGTAGGAAACCTAACTTACAGTTTCCAATGACTTTTATAGTAAACTTTGAATAAATCTAGTATAAATAAAACTTTAGACTCTAATATCTTTAATCATTGTGTTAAATGCCTTATTGATGGCTGTAAACATGAAATATATGTGTATACATTTCATCAAAGCCAATCTCCAGTTCCCTCCTCTTAAGTTTTTTTCTGCTTCTTAAAGCTAGATAACAACCCTCTTAAAAAACAGCCTATAACCATGCTTATAGTATAAGAATAATATCTATTTCCAGTTTAGGAAATTGCTATTCAGTCACTAAATTAAAGTCTTAAAGATCATGAGAACATTTATCAAATTGAGAAGGATGAGACAGAAAGCTCTTGTGCAAATATACTGGCCATCTATCTCCTGACACTTTCTCAATCCCTGTTATGTCCTTCTGCTAACAAATATTTAATGAATGGCCACCAACTGATGATATTATTACATTAACTAGTATGAAAAAGATGTTATTTGATTCCTATCAAGGAATAATTAGCCTGCCTTTGACATTGTCATTATGAATTAAATTTATATATTTGTGGTTATGGTTCAAAATTTGCAGTGATCTAAGAACTCTAAATATCTTCTTTTCTTGTCATTGACTTCTAGTATTATTCCAAGGACATTACACTTAATATGTCCATATTTTGTTACTATATAAACAAATATCCATACTATACATACCTTAAGAAAGGATAGACAGAAAAAGAGATTATTGTTGAATTTCGATTCCATATCTTCAGAACTCTGGGATATTTCACTTTGTGTTCAAGATCAAGATCTAGTATTTGCAATCCATTTTGTGTGTCTTTCAGTGCAAAGTAGAGGTGCCTTGAAATCCAGTCAACTGTAATAACTGTGATATCAAAAAGCAATGCATCTCGGAAAACCTTGACAGTAGGTGGAAGATAACCAAGGAGACAGTGGTCATAGTTTTGTTTTAACTTGATGTCTTTTATGTAGTCACCAACACAGCTTACTTACTTCTTTGTAATCTGAACCTACTTACTTCTGGATCGTCTATCTTTGTGAAATACTGCTGTTATTGATCTTCTTGCACATTGTATTTTTCCCTGCATGATTTAATTTATAGCCATGGCTTCAGATTAATGCCATAAATTTACCACTTTCGGCAAGATCTCGCCTTGAGTTACTGGCTCTAAGTGCCTACTGGACATCCCCCTATGAACGACTCCAGAAAATAGAATTTATCATCCACCCCACAATCTTGTTTTCTCCTGAACTTTATGTTCCATTAAGTTCCAGTTATATGGCCAATACAGAGAAGCATGTTCTTCCTTTACTTCTCACGTTGTTAACCATAGCGATTTTTTCCTATCTTAACTTTCTCTTCTTTTTTTTTAGCTCTTTGCTTCTCATGTAGCTCAGGCCCTGAGCATTTCATGCCTTTTTTTCTGTAACAGTTGTCTAGTTGTCTCATACTTAACCATCTTCTCACCCTCCTTCCAAGTTATCCTTCATACTATTAACAGAGATCATCCTAAAGCACTACTTGGTAATATTAGTGACCCAATAACTTTCTTTAGTGACTTGTTATTGGTTTCAAGGTTGACATCTACTTCTTCAGCATAGTGAAACACTAAAACATCCACTGCATGAAGTCAGTTCCATTTTTAGTGACCCTTCATTGAGTTCCCCAGGTTGTAAATCTTGAAGGGAAAAGACTGCCCATTTTTCTACACTTGGAGGACTGGAGCATTTGAATCCTGACTGCTAAGTGAGCAGTGCAATGTGCGACTAATAACGCCACCAGAGCTCCTTCAGCCTAGTAAAGGAAGCCCATTATGTTCCTTCTCTTACCTACCTCTCCGGCTTTACCACTTGACCGGGACTCCACCCTCACCCTCTCTTCCATTCCAAACTCCCTTTGTTTGCTCCCTGAAAATAGCACAACTCTTTCATTCCCCTGCCTTTTATTTGTTACTCCTTCTTCTCTGCTTTCCCCAACTTTACCTGGCTCATCTTTCTTATCCCAAGATCTCTTTCTACTTTACCACTATCACTGCTGAACTATCATTGTGCTGAACTGAGCATCCCATTTCCTGTGATTCCACTGCATTCTATTACAAAGTAGTTGTCTTCTGTCCCAGATAGCATTGAGGGAATGTACCACAGGCTATGCATTGAACTAAGTGGTTTGCGTGGATTATGCAATTTAATTCTCACAGGAATGAGACGTTATGATATGATAGAGTGTCTATTTATGCATAGTGTTGAGATAACTTGCCAATGATCATAAATATCGTAGTAGTGGAACTGGAAGTAGATTTTTAGGTTATTATATTCCAAAGCTTACACTCTTAATCATTGTTAAATATCTATCTTCCTAGTATTAGGCTTCTGTAAGATGAAGGGTTACTAAGAGCAAGGGCTGTGAGCATTTTCCCCCTGTATCCCAGGAGCTAACACAGTCCTTTGAATTCACTGACTAGTTGCTAAATTAATCCTTAATGACATTTTCCCAAAGTTTATTTGGTATTCATTTGTAACTAAATTATATATCTAACCTTTTCAATCATTCTAACTTCCATGGTTCAAACAGTGACTAGTCATTTTAATTATTTTAATATTTTGATATGCAAATGTCCTACTGTTTCATTTCAGAAGAACCACATAATGAAATACCTCAGCTCTGGAAAGATTGTGCATATTCAGAAGGAAGAGAGACTCTCCTTGAGCATAATAAACCATCTCATTATCTGCAGTGTAGTCCATGACATTTATGTCTTTTTCTGATGAAAAGGTCCACACAATTTTATTTTGGTCCATGTCTAAAAAATTTATTTTGTTGCCAAAGAGAGTTATAAGGTATGGAAAAGGCTTGATCACTGAAAACAAAAAGTAAGTAGACAATATATATGAGAAAAGTAAATTCAGGCTAGCAAAGTCTTTTGATTCTTTGTCATACAGCTCTGAAATCAATTCATGGGCTCTCTTAGGGTCCATCTAGTACACAAATCTCAAACAAGAGAATGATTTTCATGTAACCCAAAGGCACACAGTTCGATTCTATCAGCTGCAGAAGAAAGATGGGCAATTTCCTCCCATGCCGTTTATGACCTTTGAAAACTCACTAGCGGGTCAGCTATGAGTTCTGACTCAGCAGTGCACAACAACAATAACCCTAGATTTGTATAAGCATGCTTTGGTGATAATACAAATTCATTTAAATTATTCTATGTTCATGTCATTATTTTTAGCACCAAGGTTACCAACAGATAAAATATTTTTAGAACACTTGCTAGATTTTAAATAATAAATACCTGATGTTTTGGCCTTTGCTGTGTTGGAAAATGGTCCTGGCCCTTTAGATGTAAAGACTCGAACCTGAAAAAAATAACGAAAACAAAAATTTGCACTTTATGAATGTTCTCAGTAGCAGTAACTAAGTTCTGAGACTGAGAAATGTTACATTTCACATTCCTGCTCATAGTATTAATAATTTCAGATCCCTTTATTCATCTAAGTACACGGTAATAAAGCATTAACATGAAACATATTGCCCTATACTCATGTTGGTCGGTTTGTTCTGTGCTTTTGTTTTGTCCAATGAGATGATAGAAATATTTACCCGAATATTTTCATTTCTACTAAACACCTTCAAATGTTTCTAAAGTTAAATTATACTGAATTCTTCAAGGAACAAAGGTATAAAGATTACGGTAAACTTCCACTTAAAACAACTGTTGCTATTTGTCATTGAGTTGGAATTGATCCATAGCTGACACTCCAGCAGGTTTTTAGAGGCACTAAGTCGCACAAGAGATTGCCCATCCTTCTACCACAGAGCAGCTTGTGGATTCAAACTTCACGCCTTTGAGATTGCAACAATACTTATCACTAAGCTACCAGAGCTCCACTTAAAATAACTAGATGTTTCAAATAACTAAATTTTCTTTACATTTTAAGAGAGTTATAAAAAAATAATAATTAA